ACTTAATAAAACTGGTTTATTCTTTCCGAATATAACTTTACGATACACTTAATTTCAATATTCGCGCTAAAACAAACACTATAACGAACGAACGTTAACTTCAACAATACGTCTCTCTCTGACCGCAGTTCAATTACTCATTACCTGCACACGCATTACCGCGTCACGTTGTCACCTTCTTATATATACCAGACTACCCCATCTAGTAAATGCTAGGGCATTCGTGAAGGAACAAGATAGTTCTAGAAACTAGAGAGCGTGAGAATAGTCACGTGATCTCGATGACGCAACAATACTAAGGAGGGGCAGTGTTGCGTCAGCGAGGTCACGCCACGACCTTCTCTCGAACCTTCGTGAATTATCAAGAGACTACTAGATTGGGAGTAGTCTGGTATACATAAGATGGTCACAACGTGACGAGGTAATGAGTAATTGAACTGCAGTCAGAGAGTATTGTTGAAGTTAAGCACGTGAGACGTTCGTTGTTATAGCGGACTGTTGAAATTAAGTGTATCGTAAAGTTATATTCGGAAAGAATAAACCAGTTTTATTAAGAAAGAACTTGTGTCGCTAAAGTTTCATTGGAACGAATTTACGGAAAATTAATTAACGAACGGAGACGTAACACTATCCAATGAGCCAGCCTATCCCCCACATCTCCAGATAACTTTTTAAACAAGCTTATCATATGGCTAACAACTAGGCCACTCGAGGCCCAAGAAAGGTAAGATGTTTCACTCTCCAGATATCAATTTTGATATACTTTTATATTATATATCTTTAAAATAGTCAGGATTATTGTTCTTAAATTATGTAAGCCAACAATAATTAATCAAAATCTTCACAATTATGCAATTTAGTAACGAGACAGAGCACAATAAATATTATTTAACTTATCTTTAAAATTTATTTCTTGTAGATGTCACTAAAAATCATAAATATTATATAATTCATGGCGCGAATTGTGGGGAAAATGCTCATAGTCACATTATATGTGTTTGTACTTTTTATTATTACTGATAAGCTTGTACTTTTGTATGGATAAGTTGATTTTTTAATTTAAGAATTGTGGGTGATATAATATAAAGCAAAGAAATTGTATCTGGGACTTTATATTCATTATAGTTCCTTTTAAATTATAGTTATTAACCAAATCAATATTTGCCAGCACTAGTCTACAGTGTCGCAAACCCGAATCACTCGCACGAGTCACAGTCATTCTGCATCAAGTTTCAACACCAAATTCAGGTAGCCAGTTTGAATTTGATTTATAACAGTATTAACTTCGTTAATTCTTGACGTTGTTGATTTATTACTTGACAAAGAAATTATTTTTAATGTCGTGTTCATTGAAGTAAGTTGTAGTCAACTGGATATTGCTAAGCACTGAAGCAGAAACATTTTATTTTTAGTTTTTACATTGGAATGGGAGCCTGTGTAATAAGATTTAAGTATTATTACTATTAGTGCACTAAATTGAATTTATACTCCTGAACAATGTGTGTTTATATTTAATCTGTTGTTAATAATAAATAAAGGAATTATCAAGAGTGCCACGTTACATTGTAAGTGGGCCTACATTTCTCCATTTTGATTTGGTATTGTTTGTAAAATATACAATACATTGAGAAGAGTGCAACTTGCAAAGCTGTATAAAATATTGTTTCTTTCAGAAATTGTTCTAAATGTGTTGATAATATGTTTTCCTGAATTGCGAGTAGCAGTTTTGATTATTTTGGGTAAGTTTTCAGACTATTTACAATAATGTAGATGGTAGAGAATCTAAGTTCTATAAATGTTTGTAAATTTTTAGTCACTCCTGTCCAGTTGGCAGGCATGCATGACTTGAATAAGGTTATTGAATTTTTAAACCATTAAATATGCTTGATGATACCATATTGATACACATATTTTGGTTACAGTTTTAAGTTTTTGAATAAATAATTGCTAAAGGATACAGGTATATAGATTGGTTGTTTTATTTTATTGGACAAAAGGTGATCTTGCTAGCTTAAATCCTGCTGTTACCTTTATTTCTAGTCTTACTACCTGCAATTTTTTTGAAATGTCATTTGGATTAATGAATGTCCAAACTCAAACATTTTTAAAACCTTAGTTATGTTGCCAAGCCCATCTCCAGTGAAAACTGGTAAAGACCTTTCAATCTATTTCTGTAGGAAAACCATCTAAGTTGAAAATCAGCTTGGAAGTGCTTCTCTGAACCCTTTCCAACAGCTTTACATGCTTTCTTAAATAAGTGCCTAAAACAACACAATATTCCAAATTTTGTTTAACCAGCATCTTACAGAGTGAATTGATGACCTCTTTTGTTTGGTAGTCAGCATTTCTCTGTATACAGCTTTCTAATATACATTATTGAAAGTTAAACTGAGACTGTGGTTTGAACCCAGGATCTTTGGCTAAACTTTGTGTTGTTGTGGTCAGGCAATTAGTGGGATGATTTACCACCTCCTAAACAAATCATAGGTATCAGACCCACACATTTATATATTTTTATTATTACTCAGGCAATTAGTGGGATGATTTACCACCTCCCAAACAAATCATAGATATCAGACCCACACATTTATATATTTTTATTATTACTATGTATATATTATATAATTCATAATATGAATTAAATTATATATAACCTAAAATTCTATTTTATTAATTATTATCTAATGCATGTACACTGTGTAGAAGGCCGTAAGAGACTTCTTAGTAGCTTTATCTGGATCTTTTCCCTCATCAACTTCAGCTAGAGATTCCCTTGCAAGACTAAGGACAACTAATGTTATGATAATTAATTTACATAACCTTACCTTTATGAAGATTAAAATGTATCTGCTAAGCATTAGCCAAACCTCAGCATTTTTAATACAACTTTAAATACCTAATAATTTTATATCTGCAAGTTTAACCAATTTACTGGGTATTCTTTGTTATTGTAATTAATAATGTAATGAATCTCTGTTCTAAACTGAGAATACCTTAATACCAGAATTCTTAAAAACCTAACAAAGTATTCATTTGAACTTTAGCAAGTAAAACAAAATTCAATCACAATTATTAGGTGTACTGGAAAGTAATGCAATTTTTTTTCCTTATGCACTAAAATATCTTTTTAAGGGTATTTATTTTTCAATCTGTTACATAATCCTCTTTATTATTAATGAAAATATGCCATTTTCAATCAAGCTTTCAGTTCTTTGTTGATAGAAGGAATAATTTTTTGAGACACAGAATTCTCGAGACCAATTTTGATGCCATCAGTATTTCTGAAGATTTTTTATTTTATTTTGCTGCAAAAGTGCTGGATAGATCTGAATAAATGGTAATCTGAAGGGGCAATGTCAGGAGAGTATGGAGGGTGAGGCAGGACTTCCCAATCCAGATCTCTGGTCTTGTTTTGAGTCATTCTTGAAGAATTTGGTCTTGCATTGTCATGCTGCAGAATGACCCTTTTTCTGTTGATCAGTATGGATGTTTTTCAGTGAGAACCTGACAATAAAGGATTGCAGTTATAGTCTAATATGATTTCAGTAACTCAAAGTAAATTATGCTGAATTCATTCCACCAAATGGACAATAAAACTTTCTGTGGTTGTAGACCTGGCTTAGCTGTCAGAATTGAGTTCAGGCCAGTGCTAAGCCACTGATTCTTGTTTTGGTGTTGAAATCAAGAACCCATTTCTTATCTCCAGTTACAATCTGATGAAGAAATGGTTCTATTTCATGTTTGGTTATCAATGAATTGCAAATTGTTATGCACTGGGCTTTGTTGTCATCTGACAGTTTGTGTGAAACCCAAATCCTTAACATGAGGCCAAAAAAGAATTAAGTGTTTCTAACAATTGTTGGATGGTTTGATGGAGGTCTTACTCAACCTCTGATGTCAGGATGTCATTGTCTAACTCTCCTGATCTCCTAGAACGATGGCAGTCAGAGAGATCAAAATCACCTGACCTAAATTTTTTGAACCACCATTGGCATTTGTGAACACTCAAAGTATTTTTATAAACCCCACAAATGTTTTTGGTTGCCTTGTTACCTTTATGAGACTCGTAGAGCATGCAATGATGAATGTGATCATTGTTAGCAATGTGATCAGTCATTTTTTCTGATTACAGGAAAACTATTTTTGTTGTCTGAAAATTGATGAACAAGAAGGATTCTTTTGCTTGTTAAATCAAATTCACTTGAAAAGAAACTAAAGCACATAATTAGAAATGTTTGAATTTAAGGTAACAAAAACGACATTAGCTTCCGCTACCCCTAATAAAAAATTCTTTGCCGAGACTTTCACATTTAACATATTTAAACTTCAAAGAACTCAGTATTATAATATAACCTTGACACAAAAAAATAATAAAGAAAGAGTTAAGAAAAAAGATATATAACTCTGAAAATTAATCAAAAATTTGTGCGATAATACAGCACTAAAAACATTTATTAATTGTAACTCTCAACATTTATAGCCAAGTTTCGAGCAAGATCCAATCTGTTTTCTATTTTCTTGATCATTTGGCGTATCAGGCTTCAGTTCTCTTTTATTTCATTTATTTACTACCAGATGACAAGATTGCAATTCAACTCAAGATGATTATTAACAAAAACTCCAGTGCTATCTAAAGTCAGTCATTTTGTCTAACTGGGAAATATTATTACAATTACCTTTAATAGGGTGTGAGCCAGCACTATGCATAAGCACTCTCAAGAAAACAACTCACAAAATGATAGAACAAAAGGTACATAAATATGAGCATAACAGTAATTAAACAAAAGTAAAGGAATACTACCACACAATAAAGTGAGAAAAAACAAAGAACCTTGTGCAGAATCCTAAAATGCACCATTTGTAATATTAATCCACTGTGTCTGAGTTTTAAAGTGAGTGAGTGATTCTGTTGGTGTTAGGACAAAACTTGGGTCGATAGCAAACGTGCCTTTAGGCACGATCTTCATAGGGAGGTCTGAAGGAATGCTTCTCCAGAAAATTTTAAAATCAAGACTATTAGAAAAAAACATGAATTTTCAGACTATTACTTTTGGCACACATCTATTGGCACAGCTAACTTACTCCGTTAATCTCACTCAATCCTCACTTTCTTGATTGGCACTACATTGTTTAGATGTGTGTTTTTTTCAAGTGTAACTGTGGTTTCTGATTGTGTTTTGTTGTCATTTAACAAAATTTGTTTCAACAGTTTTGTTTATCAGTGTTTGAATTAATTTATTTCTTGTTCCTGAATTGTAAGTGTAATCTTATGATCTTTGAGGTCAGAAACGAAAACTCCTGTAACAGTCAATAACACAAATGGTACGATTTCCCAGGTCTTGGTTTGACTTTATTTCAGAAGAAATACAAGCCTGAAATTGCAGGGAGATAGTTATATGTTCAGCTGGCAATTTCTTCTTCTTTTCAACCCAAACATGTTTCTGAGGATGAATACTGTCATGGTGAAGAAAACTTGGATTGTCTTTTTCTGGCACCTCCCACTCATTTTTTACACCTTGATAATTAGGTATGTAGTATTTTGCATGTCTCCATTATTGCCTGTGATGCATCCCCTTCCTTACAGGGTGACATTCCACCTGATTATTATGTTTTTCCCCCTTCAACTGACATACGAGTTCACTCTGACCAACTTCAGTCTGATGTTGGCATGTCCTGTCCCCCTCATTTGTTGGAGCAGCATGCTTTTGTGTACCATTGCTCTCCGATTCCAGGGGCTTCACTTCATTTTAATCAGGCACAGTTCTCAAGGATTTACCTTTTCCTCTCCTCCCTCCAATTATTGTCTGAATCCTTTTGTTGCTCCTCTGAAAGTTTTTCAGATGAGCTCAGGGCCCTCCTTTAGTCCATTATGACCCATTTATTGGCATCTGCTCTTTCCCTCATTACCTGACTCCTGTGTTGTTGGGGAGGATTCTCTACTTGCAGAGGTGCGTCTCCCCCATTCCTCCCTACATGATCTGGCACTCTACACCTCAGTTTGTCTTTGTCTCTGGGATATGGAGCAGGTAGTCTTAAAGGCCCTTAGGCCCTCACCTCACATTCTCTCATTGTTTGAGAGGTTCTATCTCTTTTGGAAATATGGGCTCTCATTCCCATGGATCAAGCTCATATATGTTTACTTCAGTGGAACTTCTTCTTGGATCCCTTGGACCACCCTGTTACCCTTTCTTTTGATATCAGGGCCGACCTGGCTTGGTGGCTCAACAGAGCCCAGATCATGCCGGGTGTTCTGCTTCTTCTTATGCTGTCGGGAGATTTCTGGTCTCTGGTTGATTGAGGAGTTTGCCTTCCATATCAACATTCTTGAACTTATGGTAGTGCATTGAACTTTGTCCCACTTCCTTCTCCTATGGGGGAGAGTGGTTATGATACACTTTGACAACTCCACTGTCATCACTTATATCACCTAGCTGTGAGGTACCAAATCCAGGTCTCTGTGTTTTCAAGCCCTGGATCTCCTTTTCTGGGCCCACAGTCACCACATTGTGGTCTTAACTTGCAATATTTCTGGTGCTTTGAATCTGGTTGCAGATCATTTATCTAGTCCCAACAAGATTCTCCCCACGGAATGGTCTCTCAATCCTCAGGCCTTTCATAGATGTGTTCTCAGCTGGGAACACCTCATAATGTGTTGCCCACTGGAATGCCAAACTTCCTTTTGGTCTCCCATTCCACACCAATTAGCTCTAGGAGTGGACACATTCAGTCAAGTTTGCAGGGGTGTTCACATCTTTGCTTACCCTCCTATTTAAATCCTCTCCAGAGTTCTATCTCTAATATAAACTACACCCTGTCTAGTCCTACTTGTGGCTCCTTATTGGCCAGCACAGCCTTGATTCCCTCTGCTCTGACCTTTACTTGTATGACCTACTCTATTAACCTAAATTGGACATTGTTTATCCAGACTTCACCAAACTCCTTCTTCACACAAGGTTTTTGTCAGGTCTATTGCATCAGCCCAGAGACTGACCCTTGTGTTGTATCTTTTTTTTTCCTGATCCATCAAACTTCCTTTCTCCTTTGGTCAATTTGATATGGCATCTATCCTTCCATTCGTCATCTTTCCCAATTCTTCACCTGTTTGTTTGACAAAGGCTGGTCCGTTTCGACTGTGTCTAGCTATCAGGCAGCCTTGTCAAACATCTTCTATTTCTACAAGTTTCATAAGGTTTTGTCTTCCCCTGTCATTTCCCTCCTTTTGAGTCATACATCCTCCACTATCCTTTGTTTTGCCTGATTGGGATCTCAATGTGGTCCTTTATGCCCTTTCCCTTTGAACCTTTGTCAATGTGTTCCATGTTCCATCTACCCATCAAGTCCTATTTCCTTCTCCTCCTCCTCGTCTATCAGATATTTATGCCATTAATGTTACTCGCATCCTTTACCATTCCTTCTATGTCATCCTCTATCCGGACTGGTCCTTCCGTCCTAAGACCTATGCTGCCCATGAGGGGGGTTTATCTTTCATACCTATTTCCCACTGGGGTACTCCTATTCTGGTCATTATTTGCTTCTTTGTCCAGTGCACTCTGTATGGTGTTATGTGGCTTGTACTGCCTCCTTTCAGGGTTCATGTTACTGACTTTTTATTCCCTGAAACCCTTCTGTTTCCCAAGTACTTTTGTCAAATAACCCAAATCAAATTTATTTTCTTAACCATTCTGAAATAAGAATTCATATCCTTTGATTTTTACCATGTTGCCATAAATTTACACTTAGATAATCTTGTTGGAAATTGTGGCTGAACTGAACCATAATGTGTAATCTCTCTACATAGAATATTTTATATGTACCTTTTGAGATCCATTGCTCTACTTGCTTTTGGTGAAATTGGGTATCCCTCCAGATGTCACCCATTGCATTATTCCACCAAAATCAGAATTGCTATTCTTGTTATGCATCTTTGTTTTGTGTGGTATGTCCTGGGTCTGTGCCAATGCTGGTGTGAAGGTCAGAATATGGCACACTAGGGCTGTATTCTCTGTTCTAGTTTTCAAACAGTGTGGCTGAAAGAAAGGCATAATAGCCAAATATAGACAAAAAATGTCATCTCTCACATGTTAGTAAACCTGTGAACAGATCTTGTGAATCAACATAGTAAAGAGCCTTCACATGGTGCCATTGCTTCCTTTCCTTGCTTGAAAAGGATGCTGTGTCCCCTTTACTTCCAGTGTGGGGATTTTAGCTACATTTTTTTAGTCATTAAAATATAAGTCAACCAAGTATTTACCTCTAAATGGATACATTCATACTTCCTCCCCTGTCTAAATGCCTCAAAAAAAGTGATTTCTGCAACTAATATACAGTATTTGATAGTCATACTTTGTAAATATAGCAACTTTAGAGGGTGGATAAAAGAAAAGTTTGATAAGATCTGTTTAGGGATAAATACTTCTTTGAATTTCATTTTAATGCTAAAAATATAAACAAGTTTCATATTGTTCAGTGATTTAAAAAAAAAAATTAATATATTGAACATTTTTCACCAAAGAAGGAAGTAGTCAGTAGTACATGTTATTGTCATTTGTCTGAAATTTGAATTATATTATCTTTTTTTGTTATTTAGTATCCAAGTATGGCTAAATACCAAAAACGAGGGTCAAATTCTATGAGCTCAAAGGTGTCTCAAACTTCAGACTTCAAAAGTTTAGCTGGTAAAAGAAGTAAAGTATGGTCTCCTGACAATGGAACAGTTGTTTCCAAAAAAATTAAGGTAAATATTTTGTAAAATGTTTGAAAATCCAAAAATAGGGTAAAGGAAGGACAGTTAATGCTTAGTGATTATTCTGTTCATTATATTATGTTTACAATACAAATATGTATTGGAGAAATTTAGCAAATGTCTAATGATTAATCCTTTAATTCATGTTGATTTGAAAAAGTAAAAATGTGTCATAAAAACTGTATTTTGGCAGGCTGAACTCCACAACATAAATAAAGAAGCTACTACTGATTAAGAAATGAAGATATATATGTTCTGTATATTAATTAGGGGTGGTGGTATACAGCAATATGATACAAGTATTGTATCATGAAGCAGTGATACGTGTGTATTGATATATTGTCTGATACAACACAGGTTTTGAGCAGTGCAGGCAATGTGATCAGTGCTAAGAGGTCAGTTTTAAAACCAGAACATGCTGATCAGATTATCTTTTTAAAGACTAACCTTAACAAAATTTGAATGATGATTGTTTTTTAAATGAACCAACTGTACTGACTGCTCTACACTATTATACTATACTGTCTATTATTCCATTATATGGGCCAAGTGATTGTTACTATATAATTGATTGTTTTACATTGAGCAATTGCTATTAGCTACATGTTCTAGGCTTTAGGTTAGCTAGCTAATAAAATATTTAATGGCTACTCTGCATATTAGACTGAGATCTGCTGTTATAGTTTTGTAAGGTATTAAGCTGCAGATAAAATGAAGTAAAAGGATAAGTCCTTACTCCTTAGCATGTTTTTTATTTCCATCATGTATATGGGTAGCTTACTAGGTACTTTAAAATATTTCTTCTGTCTGGTGTCAAGGTGTAGTGAGAAACTCTCAATTAAGAAATAATCTGCAAAGTACAAATGATTCAATAAAGGAAGATGAGTATTGAGTACTGCATATTGTCTTCATCTCTTTTATCAAAAACATTACATGCAAAATAACATAACAAATTAACAATAACAAAATAGATACAGATGTTAACTTTTTTTATTTTGCTTCTCTTGCCAGCAGCCATTTAGCTGATGAAATCTGAGAATTTGAAAAAGCACTGTAAAGTGTGAAGTACTTAAATAA